AAGGACAACACATAGCCATGTTCGGGCCAATCATAGGGTTATCGAGGGTGCTCTATCGATTGATGGATGTATGCATGGGCTTCTACTCAATGCAACACGGCGAAAATACAGCTTTGGCATTTGTGCTTGAGGACCCAAGGGTACTCCCCAATAATAGGACTCGAGAACCCAAGAGCATCCCCCAATAATAGGACTTGAGGACCCAAGGGTACTCCCCAATAATATGAGTTGAGGACCCCAGGGTATTCCCCAATAGTAGGAGTTGATGACTCAAGGGTACCTCCCAATAGTAGGACTTGAGGGCCCAAGGGTACTCCCTGATAGTAGGACTTGAGGACCCAAGGGTGTCCCCAAAGTAATAGGACTTGAGGTCCTAAGCGTACTCCCGTACTATAGGACTTGACGACCCAAGGGTACCCCTATAGTATGGGACTTGAGGACCCAGGGGTACCCCCAATAAGAGGACTTAGTGACCTAAGGATATCCCCGCAGTATAAGACTTGAGGACCTAAGGGTACCCATAGTATGGGACTTGAGGACCTAAGGGTACCCCTTATAATAGGCCCGTTCCCCCGTTCCCCGGAAACTGGTAACTCCCCGTTACCGTTCCCAGGTAACGGTAACGGTCCCGTTACCGTTACCTGGGAACGGTAACGGTAACTTCCCACCCCTACTTGTAAATAACCCTATTACACCATATATGACTGCACCTTGAAGATGCATACATTCCAGTATAATGATCTAATATTATTGTGACCATATACAAACATGATTTTTAATATAATCACATATATATTTTATTAAATTGTGTTAGCATAATAAACATAAGATGATTGAAAAAATTTGTAAATTCTCTCAAGGGGAAAGATGATTTTAATGTTGATTTTGCTTTGATTTGTTGCCGATTGCGCTTTAGTTATTGATTATTATCTAGAAGAAGAAAAAAATCAAAGAAAAAGAACAAACTTCAAATAGTCAGAGCATGCAAATGTTATTCAGTGTATATTGGGAAAAAAAACTGTGACATGCGATACATTATATAATAAGATAAAACATACGAAGTGTAATAGATTTGAAGTATTGAACTACTCATGGTCATTTGTTTATTTTCGATCGCAATGTATTATTAATATAGTATTGTGCAAAAACCATGGGATCCTTAGAGACCATTAACATTACTAATAATTGTGGGTATCTGTATGACTTTGGTTGTTGTAGGTTTAGCATTAGGATTAGGTTTAGGTATTGGATTAAATAATGATAGTAAAAATTTAACTTTAATCATCTCGAATAGTTTGACATTAACGACAATAAGAGCTTCGACAAACATGACAACGACGAATAGGACAGCAGCAACTACAGCAAGTTTAACAACAACAACGTCTACGACAACAACAACAACAACAACATCTACAACGATAACTCTGACAACAACAACATTATCCATGACAATAACAATAACGACAACAATAACAACGATAACAGCAACAATAATGTAGGGTGTGGGTGTAAGTGGATTTGATTAAAGACAAAAGGAACACACACCCACCCACACCCACACCCCACACCCTAATCTAGTGTAATCGATTACACTAGATTATTCTCGCTACTACTAGTAGCATTAGTCATATAATGAGTCATCATCATATATATATATATGTATGTGTAATAGGTTGTGTTATCGTTATCGTCTTGATAATGTCGAGTGAATCGACGAAACGTCGACTTTTAAATAAATAAATAAATATATTATGAAATTTAAAACTGCTGTAATTAGTATTATTTTCGTTAACAAATTTTTGCCCATTACTAAAACAAGTTATTTTTGTGATTTTTTTACTCCGTGTTACATTAGTATCAGCATCATCTTTGATAGGAGAATTACATTTTGTTATACAAGACACACATTTATCAGGAATTACATCAGACTGTCATATGCAAATTAGTAAAACATGGTTTGCTAAATATATTTTTTCATTCCTACATTATTTTTCAATTTTCTTGCTGAGTTGACTTGTTGTTTTCCCAGTTAGTTCAATTCAGTTTTCAGTTATTTATATGGATTCAAAAAGAAGTTGCATATATATATGGGTCAATGAACCAATTTTAGGCTTGTTACTTCTTTTCAAAATGTTTTATGGGGGTTTTAAAATATATCTGAAAACAGTTTCTAATTTGATAACTTTTCGAAAGACATTTTATCAGATATGGTATTACCTATTTGGAGTTTTATTTTCTTAATCTAATTTCCTTCGTATTATCTGCTTACTATCATTGTTTTATCAGCTCCACGGTTTGCAAGTCTCAAAGCATTCACGGTAGCTTCTCGTATAATTTCAGAAATTTTTTATGCTATTCAGACATGGTGACCATGTCATTTTCGACAGACCACTGTTTCTTTTCGCAACTAATTTTAGGCTTTATCTACTAAACAGACATGCTCTCTATTTGCATAAGTATCTGTAGAAAAAACCTACTGATAAAGATACCAAAATTTAACGTCGTTTTGCCTTTGCCGGCGATAAATTTTATTTTCGTTCTGTCCAAACTTGCTTTTTAATGAGTGTCAATAAAATGACGAGATAATGTACGCAAGGAATCGACTTCATTTTTATTTTTAATGACTTTTCATTCTTCCAAAAACGAGTTCAACAAATGCACATTTGAAAAAAGAAACCGGTTGGTGATATTGAAATAACTTTCGATACGAACAACCAAAAGAGGTGCAATTTTGGTGTGAATATGCAGATAGGTGTCGGTTTCACTGTACCATAAGATAGGGTTAGTATCTACAAACACACTCATCATCACACGCCGAAAAAAAGGCACCTCATAGAACTTCAAAAGTTTCGTGGTAACTTACTGTACATCAAAAGGTTTCCATCGGATGGCAGTGTAGGTTTACGTGTGGCGATGCAGAGAAACTCTATATAACACCCCTGCCACAGCCACAGCTACACCCACACCTTTTTGTGGCACTTGTAAAACGTGTCTCTTTTTGCTTAATATTCTATTACTTTTTAAGACTTTTTTTCGTTCAATGACATTTCCTTATCAAAATCATAGCAAAAACAATTGTTTTATTGATGATGGAATATTGAATGACAGAACAGCTTTTCTACATTTCTAAAAATAATTATTATTATTTCTCTGACAAAACTTATTCAAAAAAATGAACAAAAGTTTGTCTTGATACTATTGCATCTATAGCAGCCTCTTGTTTTCTTTTATTTCTTGTCTTTTTCTTCATAATCAAAAAATGGTTCGAAAATGAAAAAAATCGATAGAACATTAAAAAAAACTGTCGACAAAGTTGTCGATAAATAAACTAAGCAGTCCTGGGTGGGGGTGAGGGTGGGAATGGGAGTGTGAGTGTTGGTGTGGGTGTGGATGTAGGCGTAGAAGTGGAAAATCCAAGGTGGATAAACTACACCCACGCCCACATCCTAAATATATGATTTTGGTGGAACTGATTGAAAATAATTTTGATCTAAAGTTTTATCAACAACTGGTCAATATGTTACTATAGTCTTAAAAAAAGAAAGGAAAAATATAGGAAGAAATTTATTTTATTTTATCTTGCCAGTACGAGGGTCTATGTATGACAAAGTATATTTACGGCAATATTGATCCGTTAGTTTTTGTTTTTGATGAGTGGTTGGATTTTTTCCAAATTTCAATAATCATATTCATCTACTCATTGCTATAAAAGTAAGCATAATTTAAGTAATGTAATACTAAGATTCTCAGTCTAGGTATATGTTGAAATGGATCCATTTTCTATTACGCTTTTTCTATCGTTCTTAGTTGTAAATCTTTAACAACAACAACAACAACAACACCTTTTCCATTGTTTTTCTTCTATAACTTGATTTTTATAATTTGATTGTACAGCATCTGTATCATCATGACCGGTTGGTGAAATAGATATTGGTTATTTAGTGATATGAACACTGGAAAATATTATTGCTGTCCCACTAATATTTGATAAACGTTCATTCAATAATTTCAAATCTAAATAGGTTAATTGAAGAAAAATATTATCTTTATCTTTCTCAATACCAGTATTAAATAGAAACTAAGGCTATATAAACATGTATTAAGCGATGTAAAAAGGTAACAAACCATCCTTAATAAAATTGAATTAACATTCTCTATGAAACAACATCATGTGATGCAAGATCTTTAACAACTGATACATAATATTCCACAACACATGTATCATTACTATTCACAAAAAAAAACATATACATCATGAGAACCTTCTGTCATAAGGCAATCCACATCACAAATACCTAAATTAATTTTATTTATAAAAAAAAAAGTATATACAAAACTTTCATTAGCAGTTGGATGGAACTA